GCTTTATAAAACACAGTTATAAAAATTTATCGGAAATTATATGAAATTAGTCGAATTATAGAATTTGGTTGAGTTAACGGATTTTATTATTTTTGAAATGCATTAAATAATCGATATGCATCAAATTATCGACAAACTTTAATGTATCGGGTAATTTCCAATTCCTGCCAAAGTGCTCTAAAGACCTTCAAAGTACTAATAAATTGCAGTCAAGTTTTAGTTCCAAAAAGGAGATTTTCTGGTAAGCATTTTTTTGGTTTAGAAGATGAACGACGCGTCCTAAGTTGGGAAATCGCTTCAAGGTCGAATTTTGACAGTAGCTGGAACTCCTAGTAAAAATAGTTTATCTACATTTTTAATGAACTTAAAAAAAACAGTTTACTTTTGCCCTGCTCTTTTCCTATCAATGCCTCGTCAAATTCAATTTAATGCATTCTTGGGCGTCAACAACCTTCACACTAGACAAGATTATTGCAGGTTTATAAAACACTTAGTTTCGAGCTTTTTTTTATATTCCATTACGCAATTTTTGTACTGCTTTAAGCTTGTATTTGTATATCGCACTAAAAACGCAAGTAAGCGATTATCGTTAAATAAATTAGATTGCATAAAAACTTTACTGGATTTTACAAAATATTTGCTTTTTCGCGTTAAGGATATGTGTATACTCATACATGCATACTCTTTTCGGGTTATTGTTTAGACCTAAGTCATCTACCTTTAGCGCTTAAAAGCATTTCAAAAGCGATACAAAATATAAACATTTTCTTAGCTACATATGTATGTATGTACCTACATATGTACCCACAATTATATATGTACCTATGTGGTGCAAGGAGGTATAGGTGCGAAACGATTTTCTAATGCACACACCTACTCGTATGCACGTATGTACACTAGGCCGTACCGGACAAAAAATATTGCTACACACCTTCGAATCTGAGATATTTTTGCAAGGCAATTTCGAAAAAAAAATTTCCGACTTTATAAAATTTGTGTCGTATCTTCGGCTGTTCTTGTCTCGAGGAGTAGATATTTTTCGTACCAAAATCCATTGACCCCAAGAACCCCGTTCTAGTACTTACTCACCAGATCTTAATTCTTTTCACCCAAAACCCTAATGTCAGTGAAAAAAGTTCACCAAAAATCGTTAAACTTTTGCTAAATAAGTATTTTGATTGTTCCAGTTGAACTTTTTTAATGCAGATGCTACTGAAAAATGTAAAAAATACAGCCTCTATGTTCCGCCAAAAAAATATAGTTTTTCGAAATTGTCTAGCAAAAGTTATTTAGATTCAGAGCTGAATGGCGAACTCTTTTTGTTTGCTTGTAAGGTGATACAGTCTAATGTACACGTACATACTTATGTGAACAATTTGTGCAACTAAGTCAATTTTAATATTTCTCGGTGCCACCAAAACCGCAATGCTTCACAAACAGTATAAAACAAAAATAACTGCGTTGTGACTGTTGAGCAAACCGCGGAGAAAATTCTAGGAAGCTAAAAATACTGAGATTGCAAATGCTAGTGAAAATAATGAAGGGTTTTTCTACACACACACAAACACACACCCATGCATATTTTCAACTCAGCTCAATGAACGAAATTAATGTAATCGCTTTACGCAGATTTTACTCCTACACATTTCCTTGATGAAATCGGAATTTGATTTTCTTTTTTTGTTGTATTGTATGCTTTAAACTTAATAATGAAAGCTGCACTAGTAAACGAAAAAGTACACATTTATGAAGCTCTTAAAACTTGTTTCCACCTAAGAATAGGAAATGGCAAACAAAACGGAAGCTTCAGATGGAAATTATTCTGGCGTCACTGTTACCCACATCGAATGCATCTTTTGCATTTCTAATGGAAAACATTAATGCCTGGGCTTATACTTGGCGTGCATTTTTTAAAGTGTCGGAAAAGTAAATAGAAACGCAACGTTTTCACAAATTTTTGCTATTTTTCCATGTAAGTCCGAACTCCAAACTCCGCACCAAAATCAGAAATCGACAAACTTTCATCGAAATCTGAAACTTTTTAGTTAGAATTTTTAGAAAAAATTTTGGTGAGTACTTTTGTAGCCCATTAAATTAGGGGATTTCTTAATATGGAGAAAAATGCACAACACTGTCAGCAACAAAAAAAACCCCAAAAATTATTGCTTTGTATTTTAGGTTTTATTTTCCTTATTTATAAAAAATTTAAAATTTGTTTCTTGTGAAAAAATTTAAATTCTAACTTAACTGTGGTTTCTTAGATAGAAAACTACATTTTTTGTAAAAAAAAAAAAATAGTAAACATCAGTAAAAATGTTACTCCTCCAGCTGGTTTTAAAATTTATTTGCTCTTTAAACACAAATTTTGTTCTGAAAAAATATGCCTGAAGGGCAAATAAATTTTAAAACCAATTTGGGGAAACGGCACTAAGTAAGCAAATGAAAATTTTCCCGCCACTGCACATATGCACACATATACATACGTATGTATGTATAAGTAAAAATACAACTAGACTTTTTTCAGACAAATGAATACACGTCAAGTGAAGTAGTGAATATACATGTATATGTACTATGTAGTAAAATAAGTAAATTTTGTAATTTCAAGATGTTGGTTTTTATTGCGAAGCAACATTGAGAGATTTGGGTTGAATTTCTTTAGTAATGTGTGAAAAAGCATGTGTGGCAGAGGTTTGAATGCAAATATGAAACCGGACAAGAATCATAATAAGTGTATGAATACAAAAGCATATACGAATGCGATAGTAAAATTGAAAATTAAAGAAAACATTCACATATAGGTGTTTCCTGAAAAGTGTCAACCAAGACCAAAAAAATAGAATTTTGCCTGGACAAAGCTTATAGATGCCAATCGATAAGTACATATTTTGTGTTTCATTCATCAAAATATCGGATTAATTGGTCCATTTGATTTCAAGATATTAGCGGATTTCCAAATACACTTTAAATTTTTTTTTTTCGGAGAAACCTTACCTTCCTGGAAATCTATACAAAAATTTAGTACAGCTTATATTCTGGAAGCCTTACAACAAAAACAACGTACAAATATATTAGGAACGGTCTAGCGTTAAATTACAAATTGTGCTTTTATTTCAAGCGTTCGGACGCAAAATATCATTTATATGTAAAAAAAAAGAGTCGAAACGTTTACTTTATCTGTCAAAATTTTAATACAAAAGCTAGGTTTGGTTACTCTTGCCAGTCACATAAAATCCTTTTCGGAAAGCTATAGGATTATCGATTGTAAGTATATTGAAAATCGGAACGTCCGAATGCTTCAAATAACTTTTGTTCATTTTGTTCTATGTAGGTACTGTTACTCACAAAATTAAGTATACGGTTTTTGTTTGTTAGATTTGCAAAATATTTTTGTTAATTTGGTATTAAAATATGGGTTATATATTTTAGCAAACCCCATTTAAATCCAAGTATGAAACTGTATACGGAAATTATGAAAAATCTGCAAAGTTTCAGCAAAATTGCAAACTTTTTAACCAAAGAATTTCAAAAAAAAAAATCAGGTTTTTATGTAGTTTTATAGCCCATTCACTTTTAGTATGATAATGTGCAAATTTCATATGTCTAAAAACTCGCTATGATTTTTGAGAATTGTTTATACATTTGAAATTTGCACATTATTATACTAAAACTGAATGGACTTTAAAACTGCATACCTGATTTTTTTTTAGAAATTCTTGTTAAAAAGTTTGCCTTGCAGATTTTTCATAATTTTCATACACCGCTTCATATTTGGATTTAAATGGGGTTTGCTAACATATATAAGCCATATCGCAAACCAAAACAAAAATAAAAAAACTTTAGCACGTAATACATTGTGAATATAAACAACAACAAACCGTATACTCAATTTTGTGAGTAACAGTATATAGATATAGTACATATCGACGCCTCCAAACCATACAGAATTTAGCAAAAATCGACAGTTATCTTCGATACGAGTTCCATTTTGGGAACGTCTGAACGGGAACTTTTAATCGCTATACACTTACCATATAACATTTGTGGAAACTATTTTTACTGATTTCAGATAAAAATGTGTGTTCATTCAGAGCCTATTATAGTTTTTGTACTGAAAAAACGGAACGTCCGTAACGCAGGAAACACCCATTAGTAAAAAAAAAAAAAAAACTACTCAAAATTTTGATTTAAAAAGGTATATTTTTATACCAATTTTAAAAAAATAATACGGTCCAACAATTTTACAAAAATATTACTCAACACGAACAAACGCAAATAATTATTAAAGAGGATGTCTCCCACACAAACTTTCCCGAATAAAGCATTGCTCCAGAGAATCTGATTTTTTTTTTTTTTGAAGGGGATTAAAATTTTAGCATTTTTACCGAAAGTGCAATTAACTAATCGAAAATATAGTGTAACTTAATGAAGAATTTTTTATTAGATTTTAACCCCCTAACTCCTACCTAAATGACCAGTTTTTACCGAGAAATTACAATAAGCCTTTAGCAAATTATCTTTTTGCAGGTCCAATCGGTGTTCGTTATCAAAACAGTTTTAATGGAAGGTCGCTAAAAAGGGCTATTAGAGGGTTAAAAAGTTCCTCCAAAATTTGAATTAAAAATCGTAGCTCTTAAATTGCTACTAAGGTAAATTTTGCTGATAAATAACAAATTTTGTAAGCTTTACTAGCGTAAAAAGTAATTTAGTGGCTATATATCAAAAACTGTTGTGCCGTCTTTTTCTATTTCTGTCAATTTTCGTAATTTGCGTTGATCACGAAAAAATATACATATAATAAAATAAATTGTGTTTTGCATAATACTTCAACTTTATATTTAATAAAATAACTGTACTCAAAAACAAAATGACACACTGCTAAATAAATATTTTTCTAAACCTTTTGCATACCGGTGGCTACTTTTTACATAATCGTCTTACTTTTATATGCACACTTAAGATCTAACTTGCGTGCGCTTGCGGAAGAAATCAATAAATTACTATAAAATAGATGAGGCTCCGTTACTAGCAGAAGGAAAGGCAGCAGCGTCAGCTGTACCATCAGCGGCGCTAGAGTTCGCTGCGGCTGCTGTGGTTGGAGCTACGGTGGTCGTTGAGGCATCAGTGCTTTGTGGAGCTTGGGTTGTGGTCGATGGTGCAGCTGTGGTCGTTAAAGGTTCAGTGGTCGTTAAAGCTTCAGTGGTCGTTGAAGCTGGCAATCCATTAACGAAACATGCATTTAACTCTTCATAGGTTGTTGAAGTATCCATAACATAAGTATGTTGGGCATCGCTAGTGCACAAATCCTCAGTATTTTTGATTTGCTGCAAACCAGCCTTCAACGCAAAAGCTGCATTCGAAGCACTGTCCGATAGTGCGTATATGCTCGAAACATCAGCAGTTGACTAATGGAGCAAAGAAAAATCACACACATTGGGGGGGCATAATGGGCGTAGAACCATTCAAAAAAAAAAAAAAACACACACTTACGGCTGTGACATAACAAGCGAAGAAGTCCATGGTATCGTTATCGCTGTCGCACGCGGTGAAAGCGCTGCAAATAGCCGTGGTCTGATTAACAAATGTACTACGATTTGCAGCAGCTTTTGCGGTAAGATTATTACTGGCTTCGTCGGCCGTAGTTATGCATTGCTTATACTGCAGCGAGTAGTTGGTGGAAATTTCATCGAAAATCGGCAAATAATAATTGAAGCACTCGGTAGTGAGTTCAGGATCGGCAATACTACTCATAGCATTCGCTTCGGCCAGCATGTTGAGTATGTGATTGTCTGCTTTGGCCTTGGCTACGCTGGCCAAAGGACTAGCCTATTTACATATCAATTGGGTGAGTTAGTTAAAAATATCCAAAAATTCTCACTTTACACTTACCATTGTGGCGCCAGTGAGTGCCAAAGATAATATTGTTAAAACGGCGGCGGTGTGCATGTTGATGGGTCGTTGGTAATTTCGCAAATTCTGCAAGACGAATGAGCCACGAAAATTGGAAATTTGTCTTTTTATACCAATTAGTTTATTTCTCGATTATTTTTAATTTTTTGGCTGCTTTTGTTTTTGCATAATTAGCTGATTTCGCGAATTTCAAATAGTTATGATTGAGTGGCGTGAATAAATAGCGTACAAAAACAATGCATTAATGCACTGAAAATTATTAGATGAAGAGGGCGGCGGGGAATTAGTATGCGTAGCCATTATAAAGTATGCGTCATACAAACGATTGAAAGTTAAATTACTTACTAGTGATATTGTTTTTTAATCGGGATTGAATAATTTAACTTCATAATTTTTTTTGTTAATATTGTTTTCAGTTATTTCGATCGAATGATCAAGTCTTTTGACATAGAAATCATTAAAAAAGGGACTTTTTTTAGTTTTCCAAGTTATAAAGCCTTTTAGCGCGCTCTGCGTGAGTGCTAAATTTTTTTAAGAAATATTATTTTTAAATACCAACATTTTTAAACAAAAATCAAATATAAAGTATTCATTTCTACATGGCATTACTTCCCTCAGCATACTTACGAAATCCTTACACATGGCAAGAGAGTTGTGATCTTTAGATTTTTGTTCCGTCCCGTACACAGATTTTTTAAAGACCTTCCCGATACCGACGCAATCATGAACCGGTTAGCATAGAATGCCTCATATCTTACTCAGCTAAAAACGGTCTGAATAAAAATCGTAGTACAATACACACATATTTACATAGATATGCTTGGATACAAGTTCCAAAATTGCCCAAAAAAACTACCTCTTATCACTCTAAATTGGAAGCATGTGAACTAATTTGTCAGCGCTACTCAACAAAAAACTGTCAATGAATATTGATAATGAATGTGGAATATATTTAATAGCATGCCTACATACATATGTATGTACATATGCATAATGAAAACATTTAAATGTACATATGAAGCCATAAATGCCAAAGTAGCCTATCTTCAAAAGCTTTACATATTAAGCGATAATGCAATTAACGGGTATCACCTTTTGGCTAAAGTCTAACTGCCGGTTTCACCAGCATTTTATATGGAAAATGATTTGTTGTTTGCTCTCAATTTCCATATACATACATATGTACATGAAATTCGGAAAAAATTAAAATAATTTTTCACTTACATAAATTGCTTTCGTGAAATTGGCTGTAAAAAATTTATTGCAGCTATCTGTTTCTACTAGAGATGGGCGCGGGATATCACGCACCATGGAATGGGCGGTACGTTCTTTAAAAATTTGCGGCAAGCCGGAAAAAATCTTTTCTTTTTATAAAGTTCAAAATACTTCAAAAAAATTTAATCCAAGTTTTGAACTTTTTATTCAGAATTTCTTGAAAATTTTCGGGTGTGCAGTTTTGTTGCCTATTCAATTTTAGTCTAATGGAGTTCATCTTTCAAGCGCCTACAAAATCGCGTTTATTTTTGATATAGTTTTTTTTTTGAGACGCCTCCCAAAAAAAATTCTCAAAAATCAATGTCATTTGTAGCCGGTTAAAACTTGCACTTTATTCGACTAAAATTAAATGGGCTACGAAACTGCGTACTAGAAAATTTTCTACAAATTCTGATTAAAAAGTTGAAAATTTTGATGAAATTGTGAATTTTATATAAAATGTTAAACTTTGATTTATACAGTTTATATTATAGAATGAACCATATTTAGATAAATAAACAAGGCAAAAAATTTTTCATACAAATAATTGTGAATATTATATTAGAACAAGGTGTACACTTTCATCTGTCGCCTAGTGTATATGTGTATGTAAAGAGAGAGTGCGCATCTGTTTTGCTGGCATGTAAAAGCAGCCCTACACATTAGCTCACTATCGCTTCTAACTCACGCCTGCTTGGGGTAGATAGTGCCTGCTCTGCTGTATTTACTCCGGTTTTTTTGAAAACTTTCTAATTCTCTACTGGAAGGTCTAAATGGCAAAACAGCGTCGGACCGAAAGGCCAACTCAGATAGGCGCATGGCAACCAAGATTTTGGAGCGACAAGGTGGTCAGGATATTTTTCGGATATCTGAGAAATATACCAAGATTCTCCAGTGGGCCCGGAGAGGGAGAAAAGGGTCCGAAGGTCCCAAGAGACAGAGGTCTCAAGAGGGAGAAAGTTCCTAGAAAAAAATGTATATCATATGAAATCGAAAGGGTCGTTTTCAGGGTCCACCTATCCGATATCTGGTGTGATGGCTCACAATTTCCGGATGTGCCGGTGATAGGTGAGCCCGAGGCGGAAGGAACGCCTATGGGCAATGAGGTAGAATCCATCATGTCAGAGGCCGAAAATGCTAGGGATGGAAAGCGTCCGGGGAAGAGAGGCTCTTAGCCTTAGTAAACGAGGACATCGAATTAGCCTAGCTAGAGAAGACCTTGGAGGATAAGGATCCTGCAAGTAAACCTCCAACACTCTAAGGCGGCGTCCGCAAATCTCCTCCTCCACTTTGATCGAGTTTAAGCAGCCGTAGTCTTAATTCAGAAGCCGTCGCCTAAATTTAGGCTGATGGTGCAGATACAAGTAGATATATAAGGATTCTGCATGCTCATCAAAGACGAATTCCAATCACTAATTTTACCTTATTTCAGCAATGAGGACATTGTGACGGTTAGCCTGGATGGCCGCGCCATTGGACCCCCCCGGCACTGTTGCTGCGTAAGGCACTCGTGCTGGGGAAGCTCAGTCATCAACGCGAGGGATGAGTGGTGACTTGAATATTTGTAAATAATATAGAAAACGAATCACTCTGCAGCCAGGCAAGAGGTCCTGGACATTACCCTCGTCACGTCTCCTGTATTATCCTCTATTTCCGCCTGAAGGGTTCTTGATGAGCACTCCTCTTCAAACCATAGCTACATTCAGTTTTCTTTGGACGAAGATCGCTCCAAAAGTGTACTTTTTAGAAATTTTTGTAGAACAAATAAGGACCTCCTTAGCAAAAAAAAATGTGCGAACTACTCCCAGAGGTCCCCTAAAGGGCTTAAGTACAGAAAGCTCAATTGATAACAAGAGCGCCATCGAAAATTCATGCCCGCTGAGTAGGCCCTCGGGCAAAGTTCGAACTAAATGGTAGACGGTGAAAATCTCGAAAGTCAGTTCGTCGAGCAGGCGCTTTTTCAACAAAGCCAGAAAGTTGTTTCATTTCTGCGTGTCGAAACACTTTTTTTCGTAATTACATATACAAGTAATGTAACTTACGTCGGTGTTATGCAGACGAATTTTCAGTTTGGCAAATTTCGGTAAATATTGCTCATTAAATTAAAGCTAATATTTTCCACCTTCATTTTGTGTTTAAACATTTTTTTTAATAAATATGTAAAAAGATTCACAAGGTTAAAATTAATTTCACTAGTTTGGAATTTCCTGTAGGGTAGTTTATTGATAATTCGTATGCCTATCACAGCGGCAGTAAATAATGCATGGCAACCATTGGAAAAGATAAACCCCATATCGATTGGCTGCAATCCTAAAAGTATGCTTTATAAATTTGACGGCATTTGAACAGCTTTTGTGCTAAAGAAGAAGGAATTTATATTTCATGGATAGCTATGTCAAAATTAAGGAAGATAAACTACATAGATTTGGGTTGAGTTAGAATATACATACATCATTAACTTCATATATGTCGATATTTTACATACATATTTTTGTATCTATTTATTTATCAACTTCACAAACTCGTTATACACATCTAAGAGTTCGACCTCTTCAAGCCAGTTCATTTTCTTATTCCATAATATATAGCACAATCTTTGCAATTTACGGTAGCATGTTTGATAACTAATCTATTGCTCGCTTGCTGTCTGATATTGTGCTTCTGATAAATATGACCAATTCTTATACACGTTGCACTCAGTCAATGTACTGTTATCATTTTCCTTAGCATTGAACTTTTCTTACAAGCTGTCACTGATTTAGTAGATACAGCACAAATGCTTAAACAGTCAATATTTTTAAGCAACTGCCGCCACTCATTTTTAAATTTTTTATAACTTGAACTTTTCCCACCCTTAGTGTGCCAACTGCTACACGAAAATGTGTTATGTGACGTAATTACTGAGCAAACAGACTATAAATACAAAGTATTTTAACGTTATACCATGTTCTGACCGACATCGAAAATATGTTTTTCATCTTTATTGTCTCCATATTCGAATAGCGAGCCTGTTTCCCGCCAACATTGAAAAACCTAAGACGCTGAGAACAAATATGCGCATCGCATTGAAGGCTAAAAAAATAGTAACAATTTACCTTTAGATTCCAATAATTCGCTTATCAGTTATTGGCACAAATACCGTTCGATTTTATGAACTACACTGTAATGCAAAAATAGAGAGCAATTCGTTTAAAATACGTTTCATTTTATGCAAATGTATGCCGGTATACATATTTGGAATGTTTCAGTAAAATAAACCTAGAGAAAATACTACTCAGGGGCTTTCTTTCCTTTTTTATTAAATAAATCAAGCGGGCGTTATTCGATTTTCTTTGGGAAATAAAGCCCGCCGCCATTATTGCTCCTTTGCAAAGGAAATAAAGTCCGCGGGCGCTATTACCCCTTCGAAATGGAAATAACGCCCATGGGCTTTGTTTCTCCTTTTTTAGGTAAATAAAGCACAGGGGCATTATTTCCGCGGGCCTTATTGCACTCCACTGAGTTAAGCGCCATCCATGGTATAGTCAGGACATCGAAGTACCATCTGACAGACGCAATAAGGCGCGAAGTGACCAAGGCCATTAAGTCAAAAATAATTAAAATATTACGAACACCAATTTAGCACAGTGGTAGGTTCTGGGCAGACATGGAAGCAAATTATGGAATCGGAATTGATAACAAAAACAATTTGGTGTTCAAATCAATTGACGTTGATGCACTAAACGAAAAGGTTTTGCGGTTGTCTGTTGATAGTAAGTAATTGTAATATTTGCAATGATCGC